TCTTAAAGAAGTAAGATTTCTCAGCCCTACATTCGAGAATTTCGAAAATAGCCTTATGCATATTATACGTAAATATGTACAGGGCTTTCATTTCAAAACTTGCCATCCACGTTATCTGCGTAAAAAGACAGATTTCTAGAAAAAAAGATTAAATTCAAGAATTTTACCTTTTGTATTTTAAAAAATATATTTATTAAAATATTTGATTTTTGATATTATTTGAAATGAACATGTCTCTTTTATTTTTGAGCTGTCGAGAAAATATTATTTGGAAAACTCCTGTATTTTATAAGTTCCACGTCATTTAAAAAGGAAAACCCCAACTTAGAAAACACCCTGTATATAGGGTGATTCAAAAAAGCGCGCCAGATTTAATACATTAAAAAAGGAGCTCTATTTTTTTTTAATATCTTTAGAATTAAGATGAACCGGTTGGATCAAACCTTCTCAATTTAGGTATGGAAAATGAGAAAGGGCATGCCCCCCTCTACTTTGATGGCATGCCAACTCTCTTTCGAGCAATTCAAATCTGGCGCGCTTTTTAAATTACCCTATACTACGATACGGTGTTATTTACGAGCATGCGCGTCAATTCGTGTGTGTACATACACATAACACCTATACTGTTATACACGCATCTGTGTACGTACATGTACATACATACAGGGGCTTTCATTTCGAAATTTGCCACCCACGTTATCTGCCTAAAGAGACAGATTTCTGGAAATCGCCGGAACACGTCAACAAATTAACGTAGGTACCCCCTCAATAAATTTGTTGACGTGTTTCGGCGATTTCTAGAAATCTGTCTCTTTACGCAGATAACGTGAGTGGCAAGTTTTGAAATGAAAGCCCTGTACATATTTACGTATAATATGCATAAGGCTATTTTCGAAATGCTCGAATGTAGGGCTGAGGAATCTTACCTCTTTAGGACAATGTGTAATTGTAGTTATATTTACCAAACTAGAGTAAAAAAATCAACTGCTTATAAATCGTTTTTAATGAGCCAGTAATTGCTATATTTTTGAGAAAGGGGACACTGCAGACCAAACCATTTATTTTGTGGCTCAAATCGAATTTCGAATTATTTATAAAATTATCTCATTATTCACCTGAAAAATTAACTGTTAACTGTTAATAATTACATTTGCATAATCACCTAATCAAGGTATTTTACATCTGCTCACTAGTGCTCACTCTAGTAGCTACTACTTTTGCAACTTTTCGCAATAGAAAAGTTAGGCGTATTATTAATACGAAGATGCTCGAGAAGATTTACCCGGTCGGTGATTGATGAATAAAGTATTACCGTGAATTCGACAACTTTTGAGTGTAGGACTGGAGAAATGTACCTCTTTATTTGTTGGACAGTGTAACCATTTATATGTAGTAATATTTACTAAGCTACATTGAAAAAATCAACTGGTTATAAAGCATTTTTTATGTAACGTATCTGCTACATGTTTGAGAAGGGGGACAGCCTAGATCAAACCATTTATTTTGTCGGACAAATATTATTTCATATTATTTATGAAACTATCTCAACATTTAGCTACAAAATTAACCGTTATTATTTGCATTTGTATGATCACCAAATAGACATGTTTTTAACCTGCGCACTCTGTTAGCTACCTGTTTTTGGAATTTTCGCAAAAGAAAATTTGGGCGTCTTATCAAAATGAAAATGCTCACGAAGATTTAGCCGGTTATTAATGAAAAAAGTTAAATCGTGAAATCGACAACTTTTGAGTGTAGGACTGAAAATAGCTACCTGTTTATTTGTAGGACAGTGTGACCATTTAATTGTAATAATATTTGCCAACCTACATTGAAAAAATCAACTTGTTATTAATCATTTTTTATGCAACGTAATTGGTACATGTTCGAGGGGGGGGGACATCGTAGACCAAACCCTTTATTTTGTCGGACAAATGTTGTTTCAAATTATTCATAAAATTATCTCAACATTTAGCTAAAAAACTAACTGTTATTAATCAAATTTTCAGTCACCAAATCGACATGTTTCACACCTGCGCAGTATGTTAGCTACCTGTTTTCGCAATTTTCGAGAGAAAAAAGTTGGGCGTCTCGGTGAAATGAAGCCTCATTGAAAAAACTAGCTTGTTATTAATGATTTGGAAAAAAGGGCCTCGGCCCCCGGACTATAGTGCGTTGACCTAGGGAGTTGCTAGGAAGTCTTGAATTTATTTTTTTGTCGAAAAAGTGTATTCCTTATTACAAGGTCATATTCTGAGCATGTGCTTAGTAGGCGAGGGCGGGGTCCATTCGAGTTAATTTTTCCGACGCTTCCTTGGCGATCACACCTTTCCAATTTTCATAGATCTGACCCAGGGGTTAAAATCACCTAAAATAAGTTAAAAGAACCAGTTTATCAAATCTAGGTACACATATGATGTGGTTTCGCTTAGCTGGGCATAAAATTACTCTTTTTGATTTTCGTCAGTTGTGAGGGTTGAAGCGTACCTAGGCGCTGAATAGCGTAGATTGTTGGTTGTTCCTGAGGTTTAGCCGCAATGTCATCAGTCTTTCGCATATTCCGGATGTAAGCTCAACAATTAAGATGGTCCAAAAATTAATTTTTTTTATGGCGAAATCCACTCCGTGGATGTGAAGTTCGTCCTTCCCTTTCCAGAAAAAATTATAGCCTGATGACCTTCGCCTGCTCTTCTGGTTTCTCTTAGAGCTGCAATAGCAATATCGATGTTCAATCTCTTTAATTCTCGTGCCACCATTGCCGTTCTTCGTTGTGGTTTATTGTTGCTGCTATCCATAAGTGTAAAAAAATTACACGTGGCAAGATTGAGTTTTTTTTAAATTTTTATTTGGACTGCATGGGGTGCACCCTCTAGCTAGACGCGGTTATCCCGTCGGGCAGTTTGTTGACTAGCTATGTTTAGGGCACACTTTAGAGCCCCTTCCCTTCCAGGGTGAGCAGAGCGCATCCGAAATAGAGCTCTGCTCAATCACCGATGCAGCACACGAGTTGCTCGACAGACGACAGCCAATCCTTAAACAAAACGGCGATCACGTTATCCGCCGCCTCCGTGCCGGTTTGTTACTAAGAGCTTGGATCGCGACAAGTGGAATTCTACTTTCATGACGTCACCCGCGACCAATTTATCGCGTACAGTACAGGCGATAATGACAGTTGCTAGGCAACCTGACGTCATGAAAGTAGCATTCTAGTAGAATTCTACTTGTCGCGATCCCAGAGCCTTGCTCCTGTCGCAGCTTGCCGATCGCCGAAGGACTTTGGTGTGCTTTGGACTTGATGACCTTATGTGTGAATAGAAGATGCATGTGCGTGACTTTTGTTTGAAGACGTACATTATAGGCGATTTTCAGCCTGGAATGATTATTTATCGGTAAATACCGTGGTTATTCTTTTGGTTGACAACTTTGACAGCCAAGTGTGAAGTCACAGCCCCCCACCACTCAAGAATCTTAACCCAAGGAACTGACCGCTGAAATGATTTGGTTATAGCAGTGTAGGATTATGTTTATTATTCCTATTTGTTTTTTCGTTTCAACAATGGTTTGTTGTTTAGGTACAAAAAATGGAGCGGAATCTCTCGTTAGTCTCGTTCATCGAACAGATTTTCTTTGGGGATGATCTAAACCTCGATCTAAGCATGGTGAGTTGCAGTGAGTGAGTGAGTGTATACTTCTCCCATTGTGCCAGGCCACAACACAACTGCAAAATCACAGAACACCAATACCAATTCCCAAAATAATAACAATCACATCAAAAAGCTGTAACCAAAAGATTAACCAAAGTCCAAAGCTGGGTTATAATCGGTTATAAGTGGTAAATACCAAAAGCAAATCAGCTGATATGTGACATCACAACTTCCCCTACTTTGGTTAAAACCGCGACGGCGGAAATGCATTGGTTATAACCAAATAATAATCATTCCAGGCTGAAAATCGCCTAATGTTTCTTGTATTAGATATTTTATACTTGGACTAGCGTTAGCAGTTGAATTTTTATTCATAATTTCATTGAACTTTGGAGAATTTAGATAGTAACATGCTTTGTCAATATGTCAATAGAAGTTTGGCCGCATTTGTACAACAAAACTAACACTGAAAATGCACAGAAAAGTTCGAATAATTTAATAATAGTTTAATTTTACACAAATACAAAAAACACAACCAAAAGCTAATTAATCAACACAAACTTGACCTCCAAACTTTCTTCACATTTACGCCTTTGGGAAGAAAAGGATAGATATTAATTTAACAGTACTCACAGAAAATAGAAAACGTTTAATGGCCGTTTCCACCAACTATTTTAGGGGAGCCCTAACGTTAAGTGTTAAGTATTCCCTAAAATGACATTTTTACATGAAGAAATTAAATGGTTATAGCCTAGATAGTGGAGAACATCAAATATTTGAGTCTGATTATTGGCAGAGCAGTGGTCTGTTATTAGAACATACATTATCAATAAAATATTACCAATGATATTTAAATGTAGAAACTAACTATCAAAAAAAATTAAAAATAAAATACAGTAGGTAGGTACCTACCTGTAATATTTGATACCTACCAATATGGGGAACATGTGGTTGCACTGACTAACAGCTCAGTCCAAATACTTCAAAACAAAGTGTTAAAGCAAAATCTTGATTTGAAGGTTTTATTCAACATATTGGGGTTAACAAATACCGAAACATTATTATGCAGAGTTGCATTTCCCAAAACTACTTGCAATTTTAGAATAAGAACAAGTTAAACTATTATACAAAGTTATCAACAAAAACCAAAAATGTAACAATAATTATTATAATATCTCACAAAACAGACATAGGTATCATAAAACAAGAACTCAAAATAATATTCATCAAACTACAAACCACCACAAGTCGTGGGTATAAAGCACACTTGAAACAATAATACCTAATTGCAATTTGTCATTAAGCAAAAAATTCAGTATTTCTGATTTGATAAACAAACTTCAATCTTTTTTTCAGGGCAATAAAATGGAGGCTACAAGCCCAAATTATTTAATCAAGGATTTGCCGGCTGGTCCGCTAGATCATTACAGAAAACAGGCACAATTTGACTGGAAGAAGATGAAACTATTCTTTGAGGATCCAGAATTGCTTAAAATAAAGGTAGGTAGTGAGAACCAGGTGTAGAGGTAAGTATACCTGAAGAAATATTTTCATTTTATTGAAACTTGTGCAGAGCTTTTTTAATAACTATTCCAAAATACTGATGGGTGGGTCATCTAAAACGTCCTTTTAGGCGGTTACACACGGACGTGGATGTCTGAAAACATGTACGTACATACATGAACGCGCAAACAAGAACATCAATGTGTATGCAAAATATCGTCGCGTTTTTGAATGTGGAATCGCTAGAAATTTTGTATGCACACTCGGATTACTGTAGCAAGAATAGCAAGACTGCAGTTTTGTGCGAGCGTCTGTACAAACGCGACATGCACGTTGTTGTTTGCACGTTGATGTATGCACGTAAGTATATGTATCAAGACATATCCACGTCCGTGTGTGACCGCCTTTTGGGTTGCTTCTTTAAATGTCTCAATATAAGTACCGTAGTGTCGTTATACTTTGCCATCCAAGGTGACTTTGCCAGAGTTGACTTTTTTTTTTGTAACAATATTTTTTGTAACTCCAATGGCAGAAACCTAGCGGAAGTTCTAGGAACTATTAAAGAAAACGTGGTTAACTTGTTCCAAATAGTCAGACTTGCGATTGCTGCGCTATGGTAGTAGTGAACACGTGCTGCATATAAGCTAAGAATTTTATGATTTTTAATTCATAAAATAGTAAGACTTCTGACACCTATATGAATACGATTAACCCAAAATAAATCCTTTTGTCAAAATATACACTTCAATGGCTAATGATTGTGAAATTTTGAAGTAATAAAAAATAATGGTTTTTGAGATTTTAATTTATTTTAAAAAAAGTGTGACCTTGCAAGCCACTCCCCACATAACAAAATTGCATCCTTAGAATGTATTAAGAATGTTCTTTTTTCAGGAGGAATGTGCCTAGAATGTTCGCCAAAACCATTGCGAATGTCCTGAGAATGTTCTGAGAAAAGATTGTAGAAATACTGTTTGCAATACCCAAGAACTTCCTGGGAAATCCATTAGGATATTCCTAGAATATACCTATGAGATTCTCAGTACGTTCTTAAAAGAATATTCCTGTTTGATTCTAAAAATATGCTCGAAACGTACCTATATTCTCACATTCAAAGAATGTTTCTATGACATTATAGTTATGTTCTCAAAAGAATATTATACCAATATGCTTGAAATATTCTTAGAATATATCTACATATATCATTCTCAATATGCATATTAGACATAACATTCTTGTTTGATTCTAAGGATATACTTGGAATGTTTATTTTCGCTTCCAAATAATGCTCGTTTCAGCCCTTTTATATTAAAGGCAGTGAAAGAGTTGTTGGAAAACTTCTCTATAAAACACGAGTATTTAACCAAAGCTCCGGTTTCGAGCTTGTTATGCTCTCGTCGAAGCACGCCAACTGAGAGAAACAGGTTCCAAGGTGATTGAAATTCGAGGCAAGATGTAGATCTTTATAGCGCGTCGCTCCCTCTCTTGGAAGTCATACAAAGCAAAAGAAAAAGAATATACCTATAATATTCTTTTTCTACTGACATTTCATAATACGCTATTAAACGATTAAAATCTGTATTATAATGAACTTCATTACGATACAGATTTTCATTATAATACTCATTTTTAATATTATACAATGTTGATAGATGGCAGCACTAGTTAAGATATTGAACATTTTTAACAGTATTTTTGCGTGGAACAATTATTTTGATAACTATAAAAAAGACTTCGAATTGTTTAAAAGTTATCTAAAGTTTGGGACAATGAAAAATTATTATAGAAATAATGAGTGATAAGGAAGAATTTTTACTTTTTTAATTATTATACATTGTCAATAGATGGCGCCACCAGTTAAGAAATTTTGAATTATTATTTTTTTGAATGATGACAGCACTTTGTTTATAGCTTTTCCATGGTAATTTAGCGGAAAACAATAATTTCATGAAAAAAATACTTCGAATTGTTATTAAAAGTTACCTACCTAATGTTTGGCCTAAGGCATTATTATGGAAATATTGAGTGATAACGAAGAATTTTCACTAACACCCCCAGAAATTACAGAAAAGCCGACAAATGCAGGTAATAATATACTACCGGACAAGTCCAAGAAAATTTGCGAAAAATGATATGGACAATTTATGGATTGGAAACACCAAAAACAAATCGTCCTTCTCAGAAAATGTTTTGATAGTATATTTTGAAGAATTACAACAAAAAATGAAACCTTCAACTGTATGGATTACTCAATTATAAAATCTATATTCAAAGTCAAGCATAATATTGACATAAATGAATATCATAAGTTTTATCAATGGCAGTAGAAAAAATAGTGTATGCAACTCTCATGTAATGGCCATTAATACACTCGCATGTAATATACGAAACTCGCCTGCGGCTCGTTTCGTATCCTACAACATGCTCGTGTATTAATGGCTATCATTACATGATCATTGCATAATATACTATTTTCTACTGACATTTCATAATACGCTATTAAACGATTAAAATCTGTATCATAATGAACTTCATTACGATACAGATTTTCATTATAATACTCATTTTTAATATTATACAATGTTGATAGATGGCAGCACTAGTTAAGATATTAAACATTTTAAACGGTAATTTTGCATAAAACAATTCTTTGATAACTATAAGAAAGACTCCGAATTGTTTAAAAGTTACCTAAAGTTTGGGACAAAGAATAATTATTGTGGAAATTATGAATGATAAGGAAGAATTTTTACTTTTTTCATTATTATACATTGTCAATAGATGGCGCCATCAGTTAAAAAAAAATTGAATTTTTTTTTTTGAATGTTGGCAGCACTCTGTTTATAGCTTTTCCATGGTAATTTAGCGAAAAACAATAATTTTATAAACAAAAATACCTCAAATTGTTATTAAAAGTTAATACCTTAAGTTTGGGAGAAGGCATTATTATGGAAATATCGAGCGATAACGAAGAATTTTCACTAACACCTCCAGAAATTACAGAGAGGGCGACAAATGCAGGTAATAATATACTACCGGACAAGTCCAAGAAAATTTACAAAGAATTATATGGACAATTTATGGATTGGAAACACCAAAAACACATCATCCTTCCCAGAAAATGTTTTGATAGTATATTTTGAAGAATTACAACAAAACATGAAACCTTCAACTGTATGGATTACTCAATTATGAAATCTCTATTCAAAGCTAAGCATAATGTTGACATATCTAAATATCATAAGTTTTATTAATGGCAGTAGAAAAAATAGTGTATGCAACTCTCATGTAATGGCCATTAATACACGAGCATGTTGTAGGATACGAAACGAGCCGTAGGCGTAGGCTATCATTACATGATCATTGCATAATATACTATAGTAGGTTCTAAATAGAACATTATTGTTTAATTGTACAATTAAGATTTTTGAGTAGGTACTTTAGATAATTAGGTGAACAATATGAAAATATTCTTATCATGGTTACCTACCTACATAAACTTCTCAGCACAACTTGGTAGGTATATTCTTAATACTTGATAGGGATATTAGCTTAAAGAACATTCGTAAGGGTACATTATAATAATGTTCGTATGAGAATATTCAAATAATGTTATATAAAGTAGGTTCTTAGTACAATCTTTCAGGTAGGTGCATAGAAGCAACATTCCTAGTACATAAATAGAACGTGCAAAAATGAATATTTCAATCGAAACAATCTTAGAATATTCATTGAACATTCCTAAAAGAACATTCCAAAACGTACTTTGAGGGAATATTCTGAGAATATGAATGTTCTTTCACTGTTATGTGGGTCGTAGGTGTCTTTGCCTTATAAATTTCTTACCGTTTTTGGTTTTTTAGATCAAAACATGGGTCGAATCAAGAACAAAAAAATAGGCAGCCGGCACTACAAAAACTATAATGAAAATACTGTAAAAGAAGCAGTGCGAAATATTTTAAGCAATGACTTAAGTGATTTTGATATTTTGATATTAAATCGTAGGTATTTTTTTTGCTTCCAACAATGAAAAAAAAATATGGTACCTTTTTTAAAATCATATTTGAAGGCAAACTAACCCATATAATAGTCTTACATTTAGATTTAAGTGGTTTTAAACGCGTTGGCAAAGTGTCACCAATTTGCAGGAGACTTTGCCACATTTTTAACAAAAAAATAAATAAATAGAAGCAGTGCTTTCTAATTGTTTGTGTGTACAGGCATCTATAGCCAGAACATGGAATTTATACATAGTCTGTAGACTGTAGCCCTACAAATTGCTATATCGGTTAAAAAAATATCAGAGAAAAAGTCTGAAAACCGTGGCAAAGTATACCGACACTACGGTACTTAATTTATTACAGATGAATGTCTGGAAGACTTTAGAACGGGATCCAATATTCCAAAGGCCAAAACAAGTACCTGACAGTGAGGAAATGAAACGGATCTCCGCAATTCAGCTTCACAAATATTGCCAGTACAATTTTTTGCACCCAGATACCGCTAAATTGCCTTACAAAAGAAAAGTAAGTAGGTCAGAATTGCCTTTAATAATAGGTATGGGGATTTTATTATTTTGTTTGGCTATAATAAAGATGATAGATATCACTTAAAAACAACAGTTAAAGTTCCTGTGCTGAGAGTCATTCATGATTTTAAATATATTTAAAGCATTGAATAACTCAACCGCGTTCATAGAAAATATTCCTAAGAATTCAGATTATGAGAAAAAAAAATTGGGGTCAGGTGGTGTAAGAATAAGACACGGGACGATTTTGGGTGAAAATTAGATGTCAATATTTCCGAAAGAGTCGAAGATAGGTATATGACATTATACATAAAATATGCCTAGAATTTTCCGCATAATACATAAATTTCATAATATACAGGGTGATCTATTTGAAAAAACAAAGTTTCTGATATTTCCCGAGAAACGAAAGATCTGACATTCATGTTAATACTACCATTATCGGCCATATTACAATACTCTTTCAAACCAAAATTTATAAAAATCGTGTAAGCCGTTTCCGAGATAATTGAGACGTTCCATACTTAAAACTCACTCTGTATGTATTTTAAACTACGACCACGACTGCTGGCGCTAACAACTGACCGAAAATTTGATGGCGTCAACAACAGTGCTAGTACCTACACCATAAAGTTGACTCTAAAAATCTAGGCCGATCCTTTGTTTTGTAGTTTGTAATATCCTTGAACGACTGATATGACAGACGTCCATCACCTTGTTTTTATTTAAATTATGAAAGGACCGCAAATCTGACGCGGCGAACTTCATATCGGTTATCAGGCACAGGGCCTATTTTACCAACCATACTATTCCCTTTTTAAATCACTACTACGGAAAGTGGATTAACGAAGTAGGTACTTATCGAATGTAATACCACAAGAGGTTTCAGGATTAAAAAATTCTTTTACCTGTCACGAAACGCGTTACGCAACAATACCACGACTCCGAAGGAGGAGTGGTGTTGCTGGTAACGCGTTGAGTGTCAAGTAAAAGTATTAGGTAATCCTGAAACATCGAGTGGTATTCAAAAGGTTATACAACGTACTGAACTTCAGTACTTTATTAATTTTTATCATTATTAATAACAATATTGCCACCAAGCGCGATAATCCCAAAAGGCTTATCACTTCTTAAGCCTCTCATGTCATATGGGAATAATGTACAGTGAGTTGTATAACCACTCTAATACAAATATCACAACAAGAAACAATAATACCTACACAAAAGCTTTTCCGGAATTAATCACAGCTTCAAGCAACAAGAGAAACACGACTTTGAATTTTGAATCCAATAGCCGGGATCCACGATAAATCCCGGCGGTCGTTGATGGAGTCATCGAAAACGCGTCATAACCGGGATTCGTATGGATACCGGTGCCGGGAGGCTAGACACAGCGTAAAATGTTTAGAAAAACTCTAAGGTTAAATAGAGAACGAAAACGATTTCCCCTGTTCCACCCCCCGCAAAAAGCGCTGGGAATGCTAGAGGTGGAACAGGGGAAATCCTTTTCGTTCTCTATTCAACCTTAGACTTTCTCTAGACATTTCATTCTATCGCAATGAAATTGGCATGTAACATTTTTACTTGCCAGGCGTGTATATAGATTACATTATCTTAGTAGAGTTGAGTAAATTACCGACTACTTTAAGCATCTAGAAACTTTGAAGGTATTTTTTTAATAGCTGCCCTTAGGATCCATTTAACCAAAGCGGAATGATCGCATTAGAACTAACAGTAGTCAATTATTTATCATTTTTGTAGACCAAGTTCATGATGACTGTAAATGAAGCGCTAGCAGTTTCATTTGCAGATGCGTCCGTCAAACACGCCGTCGGAATTGGTTTGTTCAGAAACACTTTGGCTACGTTGGGTACTGAAAGGCACCAGCATTATGCAGACGCGTCTTGGAATAACAAAGTATGACGTAAGACATATATTTTTTTTATTTATCTTTAATTCGATAATTTTTTTTGCATCAGGTGCTGGCCTGCCTAGCCTTAACGGAAATCGCTCATGGCAGTAACACAAAACAGATGAGGACAATGGCTACTTACGATTCAGAAACTCAAGAGTTTGTCATCAATACTCCAGATTTTGAGGCGGCAAAATGTTGGGTGGGAAATTTAGGTAAAAAAAAAATATGTAGCTATGCAGATGTAGTTAATAGAAACTTAGACCATTCCTTTAAAAATATATGAAAGACATTTTTTCTTCTGATAAAAACTCTTTTTTCAATCCAGCAGGGCCATTACCAGTGTTACCATTGTCTTTCACGAAAAGCAATGGCGTATTGAAGGTGGTGCCTAATGGGCGAACTCGATCTTTCAAATATTTTGCATTTTGCTTTGAAAAGTGTGTTCTGTATAGTCCGCAGCACAGAAGATAACGTGCGACGCCTGAAGGGGGAGAGGAAGCAAATGCTTATCAAACTCAATATAAAACGATAAAGAAATACTGTTGACTAGACAAAGACAACAAATAATGCGGAGGAGTTGTATTTTTTCACATACAGGGAGGGGCGCGAGCGTTGCGGCACTCTTCGAATCCTTTTTCTGTCAAGCAGCGGACTATATGTCTTCTTGATTCTATATGTCGCTGTGTGCTTTTGCAAATTACGCATAGTTCGTTTTGTGGGTGCCCAATACCATAGATCAATCAGTAATCACTACGAGGATTACACATTGGTTATACGTTTTTATTTTCATGTGTGTTTAATCTGAATCGTCCTTTTTTATTTCATATGTAGTACACATGTGACGTCTGCAGGCATTTGACAGGGTGCAACATGAAAAGCTTATAAAAACCTTAAGACGTAAGTATGGACGACATCAAGACAATGCAAATCTTTACTGGATCCAAATTCCACAATATTTGAAAATGCCTTGGAAAGCTGCTTTGAAGGAATTTCTATTATTGACATAAACATAAACAAGCTCAGACGCTGACGACACCGTTATAATTGCGGACTATCTTGAGGTTCTTCCGATTTTTTTCCTGCTCAGGTAGCTATATGCAAAATTTGGTTTGAATTTAAAGACCAAAAAAACCGAATGGATGATGGTGATCAATAGGAATCAAGTTAGAGGAAGTATTCTTCAGATACAGAACCAACAAATCAAAAGCGTCCAGTCATACAAATATCTGGGATGTCAGGTCAACGAAAATGGGGATAATATACAGGAGGTTCATGCCCGAACTGGAATGCCAGAGTATCATTTGTAAAAATTAAGTCCCTGTTGTGTTACCGAAGTTTGTCGCTCTCCGTTAGGACTCGAATACTACGTTGTTATGCCTTGAGGCATGAACTCTACCAGACGCCATGTGGAAAAAGCTAGAAGCCTTCAAAATGTGTAGGTATCGAGGAATGTTGCTAGATCAGGTCACCAGTCTTGACGATCCTTAGTTTTTGGTCCAGGAAATAGAATCTTAATAATATACTACACATTTCTGACACAGAACCTGAGCTTCTTTTAATTTGATGTGGTTAATCAAGTTAGACCAAATATACAGTTGAGGAATTTCAACTATCTATATTTATAAATGTTTTCAATATTTATTAAAACAGATGAGCCAATTTCCCCGAAAACAGCCAAGAACGTCTCATTAAGCTGCCAGTTGACATTGAAACAAATGAATTACCTATTTATTTTTATTTTTAGGCAAAACCTGCACGCTAGCAGTATTATTCGCACAATTACATACCAAAGGCCAATGTCATGGTTTACATGCATTTATAGTTCCTATAAGAGATCCAAATACGTTATTGCCATACTCAGGGATAATAGTGGGCGATATGGGCGAGAAGATTGGACTGCATGGAATAGATAACGGGTAAGGCATAAGAGGTTCCATAGAATTTTTGAGCTTTTATTTGTTAAATTAAAATATTGAATCACCATTTCTCGCTCAAGGACTTTAGCCGGTAAACTGTGCATTATTATAGAATAATAAACCTTTAATAAAGCCACAATCGCTTTCATCTATCATGTCCTAAAAATAAGCTTTGGACCAATATTTGTTCAATAATTCAACCAAGAACCAAGTAGAAAGAGAGTTGAGTTGATACCAATGAAAGGATCTCCAACTCTTAATTAATTAAGCCTCAATCTGAATTGACTAAAAAGTTTCAATTTATAGTCAGTTAGTATAGTTAGTGAGGTAGATACTGATATAGTATGGATGCTCTTTCTAAAATAGGTTTCGAATAAACGAAAATATAGAATCTAATCTTCATATTTCTTCCAGATTCATAATGTTCAAAAACTACAGGATACCAAGAGAGAACCTTCTAAATCGTACAGCAGACGTTACACCAGAGGGAGAATACGAAAGCAGTTTCTCAGATCCAGGAAAGATATTAGGGGCTGCATTAGAAAATTTATCAACAGGAAGAGTTGGTATAATGCAAGAGAGCTCTAACAATTTGATTTGCGCGGTGACGATCGCGTTAAGATATGCTGCTATTAGAAGACAATTTGGCCCTTCCGGAAATGCCGGTAATACTAAAAATGAGTGGCAGTTGGTAGAATATCAGTTACATGTAAGAATTTTATTATAAATTATTCTCATATAAGTAAATCAATGAGAAGGCAGTCCTAACTATAAATAAAGTATGAGCGTACAATGTAAAAAACGATTTATATTCTGTATCTGCATTATAATCAATAAATGAGAGGAAATAGATTGGGTTTGCTTAAAAAAGGCATTATTGCATTTTTATCACTATGGATAGTTTGACTCCAAGGCTACAAGTATAAAAAGTGTGTTATTTAATTTTGGAAAACTTTTTCTTGACAAAAATGCATGATTAAGATTTATTTACTTCTTTTTAGAGATGGCGGTTATTTCCCCATATGGCAGCTGCTGCCGTCCTGAGAACCTTTGTTCAAAGTTTTACGGATACCTATTTATCTGTCGTTGAGCTGTCAACAACGTCCAAGGAAATTGAACACTTGGTAGGTGCATTGCAAGCCTCATAATAATACTGTACTTCACCTGAACATAAATTTATAGAATGACATGGTATCTGAAGTTCACGCAATAGTATCCAGCGCCAAAGCTATAGTCACTTGGTCATGTCGTGATGCAGTTCAAGAATGCAGAGAAGCATGCGGTGGGCATGGATTTTTAAAATCCGCTCGTCTCGGAGACCTGAGAAATATTAATGATCCTTGTGTAACTTATGAGGGAGACAATAATGTATTGCTGCAGCAAAATAGCAACTGGTTGCTGAGGCAATGGCAAGCACTTTGCCAGGGAAATGGTTTAAGAACGCCATTGGGAAGTTGCAAATATTTGGAACGACGAAGGGAAATTGAAATGTACAGGTTTAACACAAAGTGTCCTCAGGAATTACTCAATCAAAAATGTAAGGGCTTTATTAGTATTAGTTACACACACGGAACGGATTGTATGATCACTGCAATACAGTCCACTTACCATAAACGATGAGACATACAGCGTTACATATATTGACTGAAAGAATTATAAATTACAAACACAAAAGCAGGTAGCCAAAGATACATCATGTACCAAGAATACTGAGCCATCGTTTTTGTAATTTAATTTTTCACTGAGCGTTAGCCAAAATCACATCAATGCAAATTTACATTCGCTGACTTCCGCGTCCAAGCTGCTGACTCCGCATTTCGGGTCAACGGCTAACTCTGCATCTCGGGTGGCTGGCTGGTACGAGATTTCCGATGACGCATCGCTGCCTACTGCAACAAATTTTTGACTCTGATCCATACAGTTGTTTAGCAAAAGTCTTGAAACGTTTGAGTCAATGTATGCATCGCTGCATGTCTCAAAGTCTATCCTTTACTAAATATCTTAGATTTTATGAAGGTATTGCGATTAAATCCGAAACTATAAGTAGACAACCTTCATCTAGTGATTTTCTAGTCAATTCAAAATAAAAGCTTTTTAGGACCAATTAACCAAAAAAATTTATGCTAAAAGGTGAGGAAGAAATAACCTAGTACCTTTTTAGAAAGACCATGTACCTGAATCAAAGAGGATCTCATGACTAAAAAATAGTAAATTTTCTAGTTTAGGTATACCGCCATATTTCTTAAACAGTTGGTTATTCAGAGGATAGTCAGTTGTGCCTTTTGTGTTACAATAATTGTAGGATGATAGATCACTATCACTATCATAGTTTTGGAAATAATGGAAACAATTTCATTTCAATACCCCCTTCATGTCATCGATACTTGACATAAGAAAAATTTCAGAAAGTCATGGAATGTATCCACTCAAAATCGCTTTTCATCGAGACATTTTAATTTTTTATAATTTGCATTTTTTATTGCTGACAGTCATATCCCGATGCTACGAATGGCTAATTCTATATCTACTCAAAGAAACAGATAAAAAACAATCGAGCCTAGAAAAGATAACCGATAAATTTTTTGCCAAAAATGAATCTCAAGTCTATGGCGCTGTCATATTGTCCAGAGTTTATTTGGAATATTTGGCTTTGCAAAGGTTCTGGGAGAAAGCCGATAAAGCCGATTCGAGCTTGAAAGGAACTTTAAATAAATTGGGAGCTTTGTATGGTTTGCATTGCTTGGATAAAAATTTAGTTTACTTTTACCAGGTTAGTACATTCGAAACTTCAAACATGCTATATAGACAAGTAACAACCAATCGTTTATTTTCAGGGTGGATTTACAAATGATTCCAGATTTTCCTCAATAGTCAAAGACAGTATTTTGCATTTGTGTGATGCCCTGAAGCCAGATTTTTTGGGAGTTATTGATGGTATGGCTCCACCAGATTTTATTGTAAATTCGGTCCTGGGAAAATCAGACGGAAAGGTAAATATATTTTGTTTTTAATTTAACTAATTCCTAAATTCATGAATATTATTTTTAGCTATACGAAAATATTCAAAACGAATTAATACACAGTCCACACGCTTTGTCCAGACCGCATTGGTGGCACGAGATCATCGTCAAGGATGCACCGGATTTTGTTAAAGTTTCTAGTAAACTTTGATTTTGAAAATACTTTTTTCTACGACTGCTCTAGAAAGCTTTTAAAAACGCACTGCTAACTTACCTAAATAATCAATTATTTCGAACAGTGTGAGCAAAGTACTTTTCACACGCTAAAACAGAAATGACACTTCCATAGAACTTTTGTTTTGCGAATTATGATAATTCTTTTTCCACTTTTAGTTCATGGCAATCTTACTTTATTCTTTGGATCTGCATCCAGAAATTGTAAGCATAATGACATAAATTTTTCAATAATGAATTCTTTATAAATAAAAATATAAAACAAAAATTAAATCTTTTTGTAAATATAGTTATTTCGCAGTTGTAGAAAAAGTATAGCGTGTATCGCGTGTGAAATGACTTTTCACACTTGTGTGGTTAGTGCCACTTGCCTGCGACTTGTGTGAAATGTGCTATTTTCAACACTTGTTGCACAATATACTATTTCACACAAGAATTATTATGCAATGTGAATACCAAAAAATATTTTTCCAAAAGTTCCATATTCTTAAGAGTACCTACATAAACAGTATTTTCTATGTTGAACATTTTCGCACAAATTTAGAAAAAAGTCACAAAATAGTAGTATATATACCTAACTGATATGAGGGTCTTAACCATTAAAAATTCTGGAGTGTGTCTGTGTCTTGGATTCATGAAATCTCTGGGTCTCTTTTTCTCTAATGTTTAGTCAATAAATATGTGCCTTGACCTGAAAGCTGTCCGACCATCAGGGCCGTATCTAGGGGGGGGGGGTTTTGGGGGTTCAAACCCCCCCCCCCAAAAAATAATAAAATTCAAAAAATTTAACTTAAAAACAAACAACACTTATTAAATACTTATTTATTTTTTTTATTTTTATTACTACTGTATAACAATTTTTTTTTGCCACTTTGTCCAACCCCCCCCCAAAATTTTGGTCTAGATACGGCGTTGCCGACCATCAATATTAATTTTTTTCAGAAATCATGCGGCTGAATCTTTAGGTAGTCTTGGTAGACAGTCGTTCTCTCTTTTATACGTTTCTATTGAATAAAACTATTAAAAAAGTTATCATAAGGACTCTGCTGAAAAAAATGTTTACCAACATTTGCCTAAGTAAAATTTCAATTCAAATCAATTTATTGTGCTTATTCTATTGACACTTATTTCCAATGGGAGGATTGACAGGTGTTGTTTTAGCAAATTCTTCTATTGATATTATTCTTCATGGCACTTATTATGTAGTTGCCCATTTTCATTACGTATCGTGAGCTATGAATTTAATTCTATTTTGCAAAAAGACTTTATGAGAAAATGACCACAGTAAAAATATTAAATGTCAGAAATATCAATGTCAACTTTGTTTGTTTGTATGTATAAAATAAATTCTGTAAATTTTGTATTACAAAATAAATATTTTTATTCCATAAACAATTATTTGCTTTTTATTCATTTAATGATAAGGTATAAAATCGTATGTAAATACCTATTTATTCATTTATTGAAGCAGAACAACTTTCTATGTTATAAATCCAGACTTGATACAAAATGCAATAAAATTAAATTACCTATGGTAAACCTAAACCAAAGTCTATATGTATGAGATATTAAAATAAGATATAAAAGATAACACAATATTCAACAAAATAAATATTAAGGCCCGGTTCATTTATCTTCAGATAAACTTGCTGGTAACTATCTGCAAGATAAATTTACCGTTCTATAATTGTATTGGTCGACGAATTACTGGCCAGCCAATGGGACTTGAAATTCCGTTTCTATCCATCAGATTGCATACCTGACAGTTTATCAAAAGGCGGATAAACCGGCCCTTATAATAGAATAAAAATCAATTAGATGGCTGTCAATAATCTTATTAAGGCTTGGTTTATTCATCTTCAGATAAACTTGCTGGTAACTATCGGCAAGATAAATTTACCGTTCTATAATTGTATTGGTCGGCGGATAACAAGCCGGCCGATGGGATTACAGGTTGCGTTTTCATCCGCCAGATTGCATACCTGACAGTTTATCCGAAGATGAATAAACCGGTCCTTAAAGCTAGTAAAGGATCCATTGAAGAAATTAAATATCAAAAATAAGGTAGCACAAAGCACCGGCAATATAGGTTTTTTACGTTATATATTTAGGATGACGTCAAAGAATAAGGACAGAAAATGTTGTCAATGCCTTTTTTTTCTTATAATTTACCAGAATGTAATAATAAATTAATCAAGACCACTGACGGCTAAAAATAACGAAATGAATCGACACCAGTGAAATGTAAGATTGAACATTTAAAAGCAACAAAGATATGCTCTTGTCAGAGTTTCTTAATCTAAAAAAGAACCTTGTTCAGTACTTGGAAATTTTTGACTGTTTTTGGTAACTGAATCTACAATAACACAATACTTTATTTTTTGATTGAATCGGCTTTTACTTGGTGGAAATCCATTATCTAATAAAAGATTTTTTAAGTAAATTTTAATACTTATATATTTCCACAATTTTTTTTTTTTTGTTAAACTTTTAACATGTTTCGCTAAACTTTAGCTTCATCAGAAAGATTTTAGAAAAATAAAATGTAGACATAAAAGTGAAATTGACAAATATAAAAAGGTAAAAGCTGGTCTAATTTTATGTTAATTTAAATAGGTATTACACAGTAAATAAATTTAAAAGTGGTGAATTGTTTAAATCTAATAGGTCGTTCAATGAACAGTCTAAAGTTTTAAGTTTGTTTATTTCTAAAGATTCTAGAAGATTTAATTTTATCCCTTTGTTTTCATTATGTAGTGTTTGAAATTCATTATTAAAATTATGATTTGATTCTATCAGGTGATTAGCATAATTTGAATCTGTTTTCTTTTTATTGAAACTATTGTAATGTTCTTTAATTCTAGTACCAAAAAAAAAAATCTACCTATATATACTTTTGGACAATCTTTACAAGATAATTTATAAACGCCAGATTTATCACAAATTTTAGTTTTAGATTTATTATTTTTCAAGTGAAAGCTTATTGTATTGTTAGTTTTGAAAGCAACATTTATATCGTTTTTGTTAAGAAATTTGCTAATTTTCTTACTAGCTTGTCCTTGGAAAGTAATACTTTTGAAATTATTATTATTTTGTAATTTTTTAGGGTATACTAAATTAATGGCATTTTTGTATAGTTTTTTGTTTAAAATATCATCTATTAATTTAGAAGAATAGCCATTATTGATAGCAATTTGTTTAATTAGGTTTAATTCTTTTTGGAAATTAATACTATTTATAGGAAGTGTTATTAATCGGTGTATCATACTGTTAAAAGCAGCTAATTTGTGTTGGATAGGATGACAAGATGTATTGTGTATAACTGTATCAGTATGAGTAGGTTTTTGAAATATGGAAAATTCATGTTTTTCATTTATGTTTTTGATTGTTAGATCTAGGAAATTTATTGAATTATTTAGTTCTTTTTCTATGGTAAATTTTATGTTAGGGTGGATTTTATTAATAAAGTCTATAAAAATATCTAATTGTCTGTCTGTTCCAGTAAAACAAGTTAGAATATCGTCAACATATCTATGCCAGTAGAGGAATTTTTTAAAAATTGGATGTTTGTTAATTTTTGATTCAATAAAATCCATGAATATTTCAGATAAAATAGGACTTAGTGGATTTCCCATTATAAGTCCAATTTTGCTAGTATATATTTTATTATCAAATTCAAAATAATTTTGTCTGAGGCATTCTTTCAAAACGATAATAATTTCTTCTTTTTTAACAATGTTTATATTATTTTTAATCAAGAGTTTTTCAACAAGAATAATAACGTCTTCAATAGGTATACTTGGAAAAAGATTGGTAACATCAAATGAAATAAATTTAGAGTTTTTTGGTAATGTAATATGTTTAATTTTGTCTACTAATTCATAAGTGTTTTTTATAGAGTATTTAGCAGAAAATAGAGTATGATTCAAAATAATATTAATTAAGGTTTTAGAAATTTTATAAGAAGGGGCTGAAAAGAAAGAAACAACAGGTCTGATAGGGTTACCTATTTTATGAAGTTTTATTAATGAATAAAGTTTTGGAGCTTGAGGGTTCATAAGTAATAATCTCCATTTGTCTTTATCTATAAACAAACTTTTACAATTTTGTATTATTGATTTTATTGAATTTTGAAAACTATTAGTAGGATCTGTATTTGATAAAGTATAATTTACAGGTTTTAAAAAGTCTATAGTTTTTTGTATATAATCAGTTTTACTTATAGCTATAACAGTATTTCCTTTATCTGCTTTTGTAAAAGTAATGTCTTTCGATTTTGATTTAATGTGTTGTATTACAGAAAATTCTAGTTTTTGTTTATTATCATTTAAAGATTCATTTTTTATGAGATTCGAAGCAAGGTGTTTTAGGTTTAAATTATTTGAGTTATCTTTAAGTGCTATTTCAGTTTCTAAAATCTCCAAACACGTTTTTATGTTATTATTGTTTAAATTATATTTGAAACCTTTTTCTAACAAGTTAGTTTCTTCAAGTTTAGCGAAACATGTTAAAAGTTTAACAAAAAAAAAAAATTGTGGAAATATAATATAAGTATTAAAATTTACTTAAAAAATCTTTTATTAGACAATACTTTATGTTGGAACCTGTGAAAACGCGTTTCAAAATACTTCTGTTCCTTACGTAAGACAAAATATTCTTTAAAAAAGACAGCCTTGACAGTCGAAATGTTGGTTTTTCTCTTGGGACAGGCTGTACCATGTATAGGTGGAGGAGTATTCTCTGCTGTTATAGAGCTAGCATTTTCATTCATTTGCTGATCTATAACCGATAGTTCGTCAAACACAGATCTTTCAAGTACACCATTACTATTTGAGGAGGATGCTAGGTTCAGCTTCCTGGGAGAACCATGGATACTAATAAGCTGTATTTTTAGATTTTTTAGCTCGTTCAAGAGGAATAGGTCACTATCTAGGGCCTCCACTAGTAACCATTTGTTTATTGAGATTTGTAAGTGTAAGATCGGCTATTTCATTTATGAGGGCTTTTTGTTTCTCATCAGATTTGCTAGTTAGCCGAGAATTAGTCTGAGTAGAGTTATCTTGAAAGAGGATTTTTCTTAGTAGAAGTTTGAGTTGATGGAGAAGCTAAGTTCTTTGATGCGTTGGTGTTCTGCTTTAATGATTGTTGTGTCAACTGAGCCAGTTTTTGTTTAATGTCATTATTTTCTTGAACTAGTTGATCTTCTCTCGGATCTTCTGAAGATTCTGCCTCTTCTAATAGAGTTTGTTTATCCTGTTTCAATCTATCAATGTAGTTTGTTTTGTCATGAATTTCAGTTTTAAGCTCGTTAATTATTTGCTTCAAGCTTGCTATCATGTCAAGGTCCGAATCACTTGCTAGATTCGAGCACTCAGCAGAACACAGTATTAGGTAATCCTTAATAATTACCACACTTTGGTTGAGTCTTGATCGACAGCTCTTATGAAAAACATTGTGGCATCATAGCATACATAAGTATCCAGTTGTTCTGTGCTTTATTTTTGCAGCATTTAAAGGACGAAGCCATTTCAGAACAAAACTCGAAGCAGGAACAAAAAATATCAATTTAAAATATTCATAGGTTTATTACTTTTGTAGGTATTTTACTTATCAGTTTTCACCCCCACCAAGACAGATAAGAGAATTTCACACACTTTTTATTTTCAACAATTATTATTGGGAGTAGTTTTTTGTTAATTTTCATAGGCACAGTACTTTATTTTGGGTGGATTATTCGCAAATATTAAACACGAACTTTTAAGCTTTATTTTAAAACCACTTTCAATATTTTTCAAACACTTTAACTCGCCCTTAAAACCACAAAATGGTCTAAATTTGTCCTAGAAGTGATTCCTTGTGGCTTTTTCGTTTAAATAATCAATAGAAACTGCCTAACATACCTAAGTATAAAATTGCATTTGTACAATATTTCTGCGTTTTTAATTTCTTTTCAGAGTTTTAAAGTGCGTGTTTAAGAGCAAAAAAAGCACAAATTGGAGCTGATACAGATAATTTCGAGGACCCATTTTTGGTTCAAAAATGCATTAAAAGCCACAAAATGTTGTAAATTTCCCCAAATAGTGCTTCATTTTGGCTTTTTCTCAAAAAAAAAAAAAATTAAGTCCAAAATTGCTTTAAAAGCCTGGAAAAGATTTCAATTAAAGAGTTTTTTTCAGTCAACATCCATCCAGGGTACTCTAAAAGTGTGCATTTAATTGAAACAACTGGAGCCAAAAGTCATAAAGATCATTTTGTAGTTGTTCAAATTTGTATTAAAAACAAAAAACCAAAATGATCTATTTACAGAAACAATTTATTACATTGAATTATAATAATTATTAAAATATATTTACAATGAAACTTAAATTATAAAAATAAATATAGTTCTTCACTAACATTGAATTTTCAGATACAAGAACACTAGTTTTACTTTTTAGTCTTTTTTCATCTACTTCCGTCAGCCAGTAATTAATACACCTCAATATTAGCTATAGAATATTTTTTGAGCTAATATTGTGTTATTAAAAGACATCCCTTGTATTCATGCATTTTATTAATTATAATTTGTGAGAAAAATTCACAAAGGAAATATACCCTCTACAAATAAAGGAAGCTTTTGATTATTTACAGAATTTGGTCATTGGCAAACTTCCATCATCCCTAGTAGAATGTTTAAAATTGAAATAAGTTAGAGTATAAGTTTCACATCTACATATTTCGCTTTAGCTAATAAGTTGTTAACAAAATAAAAATAGTCATTACCTAACTAAAAATTTAATAATGCCATTATCTAATTTTGATAAAGTTATATGGTGAGTGGTCATACCGACCACCAATGATCCTTACCATTAAAGTTTATTTTATCACCATTTTTTTACTAATAAATCTTAGATTAACTAATCCACTTTCAATGTTGTCATCGAACCAACAACCATCAAGGTTCCATTGTCGTTCACAGTGGGACATTGAGCGGTGGGACAATGACAAAATTTAAATGGGCTAAATAAAAAATGAATTCAAGGGGCTCAAGATTGTCAAGATGGAGTTTTTGTAGTTGGCTTCTTATTTCGTCTTTTCTCTGCCCGAAAGACTGCATTTCCTGCTTGCCACGCCCAATGACAATTTTTTGTGTGATTGTCGTCTTCATGCGCTTGCATCCACTAAATTCGGACCAAGTTTGTGAATGGGACTATCGTGTGTCATCTAGGAAATAAAAAAAAAGTTATTAAAAACAGGCTGATATTTTTGCCATTGAATCATACATAAAGTTTATATAACAAAACTAAGTAAACCAGCCTAAATATACTCAAATTTTAGGGCAATACATGTTTAGCATTCTAAAAATGAGTAGCTTTAATTTTTGTAATAGGCACATTTCTAAACAAGGATAAAGAAAATCATTTTCGGAAGATTTCAAAAATTAAACTCTACAGAGGAGTTACAAAAAAGAATCAGTAGGTACAATTATTATTATTAGAATGTATGGTCCCTTTTTTATAGAAGTTTTTCCATGGTACAACATGCTTTTCATCCAGGGCCGAGTTCAGAAATAACGCACAGGATGCGAGTGCGATTTTATGGGTGTGCCTGAATTGACAATTGGCCATTGGGCCCATAGCACCGCCTAGCATTTTTGAACAGCTAGGGCGTCGCACCGGTGTCACAATTACACTGGGTGTGTCATTCCTGAACTCGCCCTAGTACTTTGTTTGACTCCTACAACTTACTACTAGATGACAAAGCCAATTACTAATCTGCAAAACATGACAATGTCTTATTTCTAAAATTAAGTTTAGCTTAAGAAAAATGAACCAAGCAAGAACCTACTCGAACATGGATACTTCATTTATTAAGGTTTTGTTAAGAACAAGTTTATTTTTAAGACCTAACATTCGCTCTACCTTGAGCAGCAGAGTACTTCTTCAAGTTCCTTTCGAAGATTTCAACATTAATAAAAATTAAAAATTCTTACCTCTTCATCATCATCTTCGCTACTCTCGTCCTCACTTGAGTAAGGTGAGTCTAGTCCCCTCATCTTCAAACACTGTCTAATAGTCTCGGGTACAATAATGCACCACTGCAAAGCGTTAATTCCTCCATAAGATGTAATTTCGGGGCGAGCCGTTCTGCATTCATCTAGTATATATTTGACCATTTTTTCATCGCGGTTCTGTACAGCAAAATGGAGAGCTGTTAAACCTTCGAGACCTTCGCGGGCGTTGATGTCAGCACCTCGTGCCACTAGATGTTTGAGTACTTCCAGCTGACAGTATTTGGCTGCGATGTGAACACAGGTTTGACCTGAAATAATAATAAAATTGTATATTAGCATACAGGTGACCAAAAAATGATATTTCTTCACCTAACTATACAATAAACAATAATTAATTCAATTTTCTAGTGTCTTCGTCATTAGATATTTAGAGCAAAGGGTTTTAATAGTTTACTTGATCTTTGTTAATGAAAACTGAACACAGTTTTACCATTTATAGTTGCAGTACACCTATTGAACCACAAGGGCACTGCAAGCAGAATGAGAATGGAAACCGAAATATTGATAAAACCCTATTTTTGAAAAGCCGTAGGTTGCAGTAATTAGAAACAAGTTTTTCTAGGCTATTAATTTTAGAGATTGATACAATACTATTAAATACTGTTATAAAATTTTCCCGAAAAATGTCAGATTACTTTTTCTTACTTTTGTACAGATGTCGGAAAATAATTTTCAATTGCTGGAGCAGCCAGATCTAGACAGAATTTCTACAAGTAAATTATGCCCAAAAGATGAAAATTTTGTGACAATAAAAATGTATTGAGCAGAATAATAATGATATGGGGATTCGGGAAACCACAAAATATTTAATGATTTTTTCACTAAAAACTATTTTCTTTAGGGCTTTCCCAATAGGTGTTTTGCCATGTTTTGATAAGTACAAACAAAACTAGACCAAATCTACTCTTTATAACAATATTGATTACTATACTGTTTTTATGGTCAAGCAGACGAAAATCACATAATAAAAATAAACCTTTATTGACCCAAGAAATTCACAAAGTTTATATTTATAATAGGAAGAGGGCAGAATGCAAAAATAATAATTGACTCAATATTATCAAACCACCAACACCACTCAATCATAAAAAAAATTGGAACTCTACAAATGTAGAAAGAAAATAATAACAACAGAACAATACAGTTAATACCTACCCATCAGATATGTAGGTCTGACAAACAAAAATGAAGAGATAAAAAATATATTTTATTACAGACAGTATCAATTCACAGTCTGGTTTATGACAAAATTAATGAAAACCGTAAAACGGAATTCCCTATCTCAGTAGGACTAGCTGATTTACTTAGTAGATAACCAAGATAGGTACACACGGATTGATAAAATGAGTAGAGATAAGTACATACCTAAATTTCCAATGACGTTAAAAAGCATTTACCCTCTGGTTGTAAATAATAATTAGAGAGCCATGAAAACATCCTGACATTTATTTATAGTGGTGTCGGAAAATTTCTTTTTTGAAATGAAATCAGTTTAATTAGTTTTTGATGGATACCTACTTTGGAGTTTAATGATAGCACGGGTAGTGAAATGATTGCCCAACATACTATCACCAATTATTAAAGAATGGGAGTGCAGAGAAATATGAAAAGCATTCCACAGGCTGCCCCAAATATGACAGTAACATAATATAAGCATACAAAAAAAAAACAACAGTGATCACATCATAAGTTGCTACAAAAATAATCTTCACAAAAACTAGTCACAGCAGTTGTTTTTCAACTAAGCCCAGATACTATAAACATAATAAAATAGAAAGATTTGACAAAAAAATACTAACTCCAATCAACCCAAATTAGAATGAACAAAAATAGTGTTACAAAAATCTTAAGATTTAAACTATCTTGCGAAAAAAAACAGCATATTAGAAGTGAAAGATAATTGAGGTCTTCTAACATCTTTTTTCAACAACAATGATATATAACTCCATCTCACGATCTCACAATACCAAACATTCCAAATTAATATATACTGAGAAAAGTCCCAGGAGAAAATTCTTTGCAGGGTTTTTTTAAGCCGTTGCAGCGAAAAATGTTTTAGAGGTAGCAATGTTATTTTGCTTCTACAGAAAAGATCACTTTACTGAAACTAATTTATTGGAACTGCAAAGACATTTGTTATTCCAAAAGAAATTTTGCTGTTATAGCAAAACTAAAATTTCATGAAAATATTTCTGCTACCCCGAAATAGAACTTTTCTGAAATACATAGATACTTCCCTGTTGCAGCAAAAAAAAAATTCTTATAATTTTTGTTCTTGTTAGAGTAATGTTTTTTGCTACTTCAGCCAAATAACTTGACTAAAATACCGTTCGAACATTTAGGCTTGAACGAAATACCGAGGATAGTCACTGAGATTAGAAATGCAATAAAACAAATGAAAAATGGAAAAGATTTTCCCACTTTTCCCATGTAATTCATTTTCTTGTTTTTGTCGGCATTCCTTTGCTAAGTGATCTTGGAAACACTATCGAGTTCACTTAGCTACCTAATCCGCATATTCTATATGAAGGGAAAGGCCTGTGCCCAGCTTTGTCTACAAAATTAATTACAGTAAAGTAGAAAAATAAAATGAAATCCAAAAATCTATTTTGGTGTTTTCCTGAACAAACAAAATTTTATGCGTGGATTCTGAATCGACTTCGTGTGGGAAATACACAGATCAATGATCATATTATCAGATAAGTTAGTAGAAGAAGCTGATCACATAAGACAGGCAGAAGATTATAAATTTCGCTTTTCTTTACGTATTCCTTTGCCAGGTGACCTTAGCTTTGGCAGACTTGTTTCATTCTAATGAAACTGATGCAAGCAAAATTTACTCAGAGGTTTTCCGCAAAAAAACCTTTTTTACAAGGGTTTATTGTGGGGAAGCCATTCCCAAATTTCCAGAATGTAAACACAGCACGGCTATTTTTGGATTAAAGAAAAAATTGGAAGATCACAGAAACAACAATTTTAGAGAGACGGGCGCAAAAACGCCCACGAAATCACGGGATCGCAAACGTTATGGACTATTTTTGGATTAAGTATTTTGAAGCTATCCTTCTCTGATTTTTAAATCATGACTTATTAAACACTGTAAATCCATTTTTCATTTAAATTCAATGAAGTAGTAAGAAGGCTTGGAATGGCCCGTGAGATTTTCTGCCCTTACTAGCGCTATCTCACTCAGGGTTAGAGTGAGAGATCCGGGAGATCCAATACATTTTCTGTCCTTACTAGCGCGCTAGCGCTATCTCATTCTGGAATCAATTGAATGACGCAAAGTCCATTCCAAACCTTTTTTTTACTTCATTGTTTAAATTTCGTTTTTTTTTTTTTTTTTTAAATGCTGGGTAGTGCTCAGCCCGAGTTCAATCAAACCAGGATTTGAAATATGTATTATGAATAACTGAACTTTAAGTTCATGTGGAAAATTTTCTAAGATTAGAATTGAGCTTTCATTATAAGAATTAGAGTCAATATTTTGCTTACTTCAATGGATTATTATAGAACAACAGTGTGAGGTCAGGCTAGGTCAAATGTTAAAGATAGAACCTATTAAATATAGTTTATTTATCAACCAGTTTAATTAAGTCGTAAGCAAATTATTTTGTTTGGTTCGTTAATAATATTTTTGTAGCTTCATTATGTCACTATACCTATTACAATATATAAGTAATGTTTTTTTTATAAATATATTCACATTACTTTTTTATTATGCATAATAATTGATCTGCCCCATCCTTAATTCCATAGACAATTGAAATCTTACAAGCTTTTTCTTTGGATGGAAATACCCCTTATTACGTCAGACCCAAAAACCCGAATCTGTATTATGTAAACTTAAATCCGCTAATTGGAATAATACAGTTTTATTGCCTAATTTATAATAGGCGGCGTATTGTTTATACGGCCACAATAATGATGCTATAAATAATTTGGCAACGTGGAGATCGCGTCGTCAACAACACATCTTGCGATTTTGGAAATTCCGAAATTCCATGAGAGTCGCGCAATAATTTTGTTGATGGTTTTTGGCTGAACAGATTCCCAACCAAACCATTTTTGGTAAAACGTTTGGTTCACAAGTGATGATGATATATGCTGAAATTTCCCAGATTAATTTAGGTACCTATTTGATGACTGACGATAATTGGATTTTTTTTGCTAATACATTGGTTATACTGATAATGGGAAATAGGGGAGTATTTTGGAATACACGCAACAAGAAAACAGATGCAGTTATACAAATCTGTTAAAGAGCAGCTTGCTCAGCGTAAAAGCTCAGGTGAAAACAATATCACAATTAGGCATATAAAAGGAGTACCCACTATCGTTCCGGTCACAAGAAATGGAAACCAGTCGGAAAACTAAGCTCGTCCAGCAGAAACGTCCCCTTTAACACTATTCACTGCTGCTACCAGAATGTGCGGGGTTTAAATACAAAAACTTTGGATTTCTACTCCTCTGATGATTGCTGTCACGGAAACCTGGCTACGATCTGAAATTAATGACTCTGAAATCTTCCCAGACTTTTACAATGTTTATCGCGTGGACCGTAATTTCGAGTGTGTGGACGCCTTGAAGGGCGGTGGTGTGCTTTTGACGGTTGACAATAAAATTAGATCTCAACTGGTTCCGCTGCCGAATCTAAAATCTATAGTGCCATTGATCGATTTTATTTGTTGTAAATTAATATTTGAAGCTTCTGTTGTTTTTGTGTTTACTATATACATACCTCCTTCTGTACTGAAAAATGTGGTCGAGTTGTTTTTTGACTCGTTTCTTTCAAACAATTTAATTTACAGTAAGAACATTATTGTGCTGGGAGACTTTAATGTGCCTCTTTTTGTTCACCATGACTTAACTGATTCTAAAAGCAACATCCTTAAAAACTTCATGGGTATACTAAATCTTACGCAGTATAATGGTGTTTTGAATGGCAATAACCGTATGTTGGATCTCATCTTTTCCAACACGCACTGCAATGTAATGAGAAATAATGTACCACTTGTGAACGAGGATGCACATCACCCATCGCTTTGTTTCGACTTTGAAGCCTCAACAACTCATTTTAGTAATTTTCAAGTAAACAAAACCCAGTTTAATGAATATAACTTCAGAAAATCAGACTTTCTTTCAATGTATGATTTAATTTTACATGTAGATTGGTCTCTTGTCTATAATTCTGCTGGTGTTGATGATGCATGCTCGGCTTTATATGCTGTCCTTAATAGTATTTTTG